GACCCCCACACAGATACTGACTCATTCCTGAATACCTGGCTGACCCCCCTGCAGCTGAAACTTCCTCAACTGAATACCTCAGCTCATGTCCCCGCCCCTCACCCAACCGCAGTATAAAAAAAGCGCCCCCCTCCCTGTTGGCGTGAATCCACGTGCCCTGTCTTTGGGGGTTGTGGGTCTCCCGGGGACCCAGAATAAACTTTCCTTTCCTTTCTTTTCTGATTCACTGGACTCTCTATTTCTTGCGCCGCCTCCTGAGCCACCTAACCTAACAACCAGAACCTCTGAAATTTCTTCTCCCACCTGTGCTACCTAAAACAAGCAACATCTAATACTAAGAAAGATGCATCCCCCAACTTCCTATTTACGTGTCAAGTGTTACATCAGACCAAGCCACAGTTAATCTTATCATGTTACTTAACCAGCTAAGAACCTGTGAAATTTCAGTTTTCAAACAAATAAAATCTCAGTTTTTACATCCTTCTGCACTTTCCAGGGCAAGATGAAAGAGAAAAGGTTTATTTATTTTTTGTTCATTTTGTTTGAATGTGAGTTGTATATGTACTAAAATCCACCCTTTTTAGATGTATAGCTCTATGAGTTTTGACAAACTAAGACACTTGCAGAACTACCACCACAAACAAGATTTGGAATATTTCTATTTCCCCCAAAAAAGGTCCTTGTGCTGCTCTGTAGTCAATCGCATACCTGTTGTCACTATACTTTTGCCTTTTCCTGACTACCATTCAGATGGCATCATACAGTAGATATTTCTTTGTATCTTACTTTTTTCACTTAGTACAATGCATCTGAAATGAATCTATGTCCTTCATGTATCAGTAGCTTGTTTCTTTTTATTAAAGTAGTATTCAATCATGTAATAACTGTCTATGGTGTTGGATGATACTAAAAATATAGGGGGGGCACTTTATAAAGTATATAATGTCTCACCACTATGCTCAACACCTAAAACTAATACAAAATACTATTGAATGTAAACTGCAATTGAAAAGAAAGTGGTCAGGTGTGGGGCGTGGTTACGGTGTTTTGGCCAGGTTTAAGCCTCGGACTAATGAAAGGACAGGGTCCTCTCATTGCCACGTGTAAGTCCCAGCTGGAGGGCAGGGCCCTCCCAGCACAATTATAGCCAACAGCTGTGTAAGCTTGAACCTATGGTCCGAACACATAGCAGCCCCACGTTTGTGATAGAGTTCGGGTGCATGTAGTTGAGTGAGGTTGAAACTCACGAGAATGCTGTAAACAACGTGATCACACCCGTACTATGCCTCGTGGCATCTGCTATAAAATAAAGACATGGCTTGTGAGTGCTGTCTCCTCATCAGGGAGCAGCGTCCAACCAAGACCCAGCTTTCATTCTCTTGTCTGTCTTTTCCCAATCCTTTCACCACCCCCACCCCCCTCAGGGTCACTGAACCAGGCTGAGCTGGCATGGCACATAAGGCGCCCTGGGGCTGAGTATGCCATGGCTGTGCCGGCTCCCCACAGTCAGGAAAGGCTTCGTTAAGCTTTGAAGAAATTGAAGGAACAAGCTTTGTGAGTATCTATCTGGGGTTATGGGCTATGGACAGAACTGTGTCTCCTTTACTTTCAAATTCATATGAAGTCCTTACCCGCCCCACATCCCACCCCCTACACACACTTCAGAATGTAACTGTTAGGTTAGGTGGCTCAGGAGGCGGTGAAGGAAATAAAGAGAGTTGATCAGAAAAGGAAGGAAGGAAGGAAAGTTTATTCTGCGTCCCCGGGAGACCCACAAGACAGGGCACCGTGCATTCACGCCAACAGGGAGGGGGGCGCTTTTTTAATACTGCGGTTGGGTGAGGGGCGGGGACATGAGCTGAGGTATTCGGCTGAGGAAGTTTCAGCTGCAGGGGGTCAGCAAGGTATTCAGGAATGAGTCAGTATCTGTGTGGGGGTCCTGGAGAAGCCAGTATCTGTGTCTGGCATGCTGATCTTAGAAATGCCAGGGGGAGTCCATCATCTCATCACATGTCTGCATGTATCCGATCCTGGGCTCTCTCCGACCTAACAGTAACCATATTGGAAATAAGGCCTTACAAAGATGATTAAATTAAAATAAAACCTAGAAAGTGGTGTGACCTCATTTATGGGAAGCAAGACAAGACTGAATTGCTGGGTTAAAAATAGTTGAATAATTGCCCTGGTGCACGAATCCATGCACATTGAAAGGAAACTAATTAGAAGAAATGTTTTAATATCGCTATTTGTCCTTTCTCTGTCATAGAAGTGTCAACCAAATTCACGATTGACAATGACATCAAAATACACACGTGTGATTGGCACCAGTGAGAGCTTTATATGTATTGAGCATGTGCGAGACAACTTAGCCTTTTATCTACACTAATAAAAGAGAAACATGGTAATTGGCGTACGACCGCTACCCTTTTCATTGGCTAATCAGTGAGTATATGCAAATTAACTGTCAGCCAAGATGGCGGCCGGCAGCCAGGCACTGAAGCGAGCAGGGAGGCTTGCTTGCTGCAGACTCCAACGTTCGC